TGGCGTGCAACAATGAAAAATTATTTGGCAAGATGGAAGAAAATAACCACTTTTCTCGCATTATTTTCACATTTAATGTCATTTATTCCTTTCTTGATAGAAAGCTTAATTAACAAATAAAAGTAATATTTCTTGAAAAGATAATAGAAAATAGAAAAAAAGCAATTCTACTTACTAATCAATATAATTAAACGCTATTATAGCCTATTGATTCTAAGAAAAACAAGACATATTATAATTTTGTAGGCATTTGAAATGAGGTACAAACAACAATGATGGTGATTTTTTTAAAACTAAAATGATTTCTTCCATGACTTATTTTTACTTAGAGAAAAAGATGCTTAAGTCACAAAAGGCAAGGAGAGAGCAAATTATAAAGATATAAGTTCAACATTCTATTTGGGTTTTCTAAAAATCTATTGTAAAATCTGACAAGTGTTAAAACAGACCACAGCATATAACAAATCCAAAGCATATTGGGATAGTGAAAGGTGTTTTCAGAAAGTTAAACAAAATATCAAGAAACAGGAAAATTTCATTCAAAGAAAATGGTGATAAACACTTATGTAATATTAGTCATCCTTTATGGCAGTAAATACCAAACAATTTCCTCAGAGATGAAGAGGAGACTTGAGGCAACAGAAATGTAGTTCTACAGAAGGATGGTGAGAATAACATGGATGAAACAAGGATGATTTGAGGAAAATGGAAACAAAAATGATAGAAGCCAAGAGCTGCAGAGGGTAACAGTGAGTATCCAACCTAATGAGATTGTGTAAACAGATGGCAGAGCAGAAACTGGGAGGTAAAGTAAAAGGACAAATATTGCTTAAAGTAACAATGGATAGGGATTTGTGGAGGGCCATGATTGCTCATGAACTGAAGGTACATGGAAAAGCTAGTGTAACAGATATTGGCACAGGATCAGCAAGCTGAATTTAAATTCCAGGCTAGTCTACCACATTCACTTCTGCATAAATGCGCTTGGAAAAAATCATGAGTTTCTTCCCCACACCCAAAATATGAGATAAATCATAGGGTCGAGACGAGTTCTCTAGCCTTGGGTGGCAACCAGGTTAAGAGAAGGAAAACTGAGTTCCAAACTGTGGATAAGGCAACAGAAAACCACTCCACTATCTTTTCCAAGAATTCAAGGTAATTCACAGCTAAGAAAGGAGTCTGTGGAGAGCCATGATTGCCCACATCCTAAACGGATATAGACTATAAGAAAAAAGGTAAAATATTGTTTTTTTTATTTAATCTCATATCCTGCAGCTTTGTTGTTACAATCAGTTGGGTTGATAGACTCTCCAGGCTTCTATAGATATATTTTACAGGTTATTAATTTCAAGTTGGCTGTGTGAATTAAGAAGCAAATGGTGGTTGTAACAAAAAAAACGATTTATTCCCATTTCTTATTTGATTTGTTGCTTTATTAATCCATACTAAAGATGTGATGTAGTCAAGCTAACATCTGCTCAAAATGTTTTATTCACATTTACTATGTGTTCATAACAAGCCATGCAATTAGTACAAATATTGGACCAAGCTAAGCTTCATAAATATTATGCACTTAACACTGAATGGTGGTTATCAAACTTATCATTCAAGCCATTCTTAATGTTATATTTATTTGATCTTTTTCCTAATATTGTGACAATGTGTCATAAATCTATAAAGTATATACTATGCTTTTTTATTCAGATGACTATAGTCTACTTGGTTTTTATATACACAATGTTTCAGCCATTATATTATCCTCCTCCTTCCTACTAAGCAATTTGTACACTTACTGAATAACACATCACAAACCACCAAAATATGACTATTAACCTATCATAACATACAAGAAGACATAACTGAAATACTATACAACATTTACTGTAAAGAAAGACTAAAAGATATACATACATTTAAATTAAAAATGTATTGTTCTAAGTAAGCTAATAAAAGTTTTCTCTATGACATTAAATTTTCTGATAAGGAGTAAGGATGGTCAAAAGTACTCAAACAAAAACATGGTGAACTTTAAACAGTTTATTTTTTCCATAACTTACATGTACAATGAAACGTGTAATAAAAATTAGACAGGTAGATATTGTCAGTTGTGATTTATATATATATATATATATATATATATATATATATATATATATATATTTAGTTTATGAAAACTAGGTAATCCATATGGGTAAACTTAAAGAGGGCTCAATGTAAACCCAGAGCAAATAATTTAAATAAAAACAGACCAATTTTAAGGTTCCATGTAATAAATTATTTCACTATAGCCCTTTTAAAAGGACTGCAGAACATCAGACTTTACTTCCAAATAAAAAATGAAAAGAAAATGTACACATTTTTTAAAAGGGCTGTGGTGAAATAATTTATTACATGGAACCTTAAAGTGGTCTGTTTTTATTTAAAATATATATATATATGTTTTATAAACAAAAATAAACACACCATTAACTTATTGTATCATAATCAGATGCACCTTAATTACACACATAATGAAAAACTAATCAAAAAAACATAATTTAGTGATACATATCACCAAACACTCCTAAATCATCTACTATGAAAAGTTTAAAACCCCTAATCTACTCAGGACCAACAATACCTGGACCTCAAAAATCTCCCCCTACTATAAACAGGTACTGTTGCTTCTTTTTTTATATAAAAATGTATTGCTAGTATTTTTATACAGTCATACTGTTTTGTTTTTGCTTGAGGGTTAACTATTTGCCCATAGCTGAGACCCTAACAGGTGCTACTACCACCCCAGGTTAAGGTGGACCTGGGAACGACATCAATTAAGTGGTGGTTCCACGCTCCTCAAAATCTCCAATCTCCCAATTTGAGGACTTCTTACCAGATGTAGTTTTTTTGTCATAATCAGAAATAATCAGAGAACTGGAATTAGCTGATCTGATGGAAAGGATTTAATTGATATATGAAGACATTATTTCTTTAATCTTCATGAAAAATATTAAAAATGATCAAATATTCTATATGGTCTGTCAGATGAAATAACACAAGACAGATTGAACCACAGGCCTTGATGTCTGTTGACCCTTAATTCAAAAGAAAGGATCTCAACTGTAGAACTATATATTAATTTGAAGGTGGGGCAGAAATTTAGTTGCCTAACGTTTTGCTAGAACTGAAAATTAAACAGATTGTTTTCTTGACCACAAACTATGACAATGCTTTTAACTTGAAATGTATCACTTTCTAAAATCATTACTGCAACTAATTTTCAAAACAATTTTGTCATTATTTTTTTTTACAAAACATTAGCTTCTAAAATTTCTGTATAAATCTTACATGCAGAAATAGTCTAATTTCAGGAAATAAATACAAATGAACAGCAAAAACATGTGCATTTAAAAACAAAACAGAAACATCTTTACATATAGATCTAAAAAAAAAAAAACAGTTATCATCTGATTTAGACACACTCCACCCCAGACATTTGATTTTGTGGCACTGTGCCTACATTCTGGAGCAATGTTATGCATGCAAAACACAATCTTAACATTAAAAGCTTATTTTCTGACCAATCAGCTTTTAGTTATTCTAATCCTTTTTATTTTCAGTATTCCAAAACAGAAAATGGCAACAGACATATGACCAACCAATAATGTAAACATATTTACAAACTTTCATCAGCACTCAAACAGGTGGAATAACCAATAATTATCTGACAATGAACTGTTCAACACTCTTAGTCTCACATCATACCATGATTACAGTGTTTGATGTCACAGACATCCATGCCATCTTATCTGATGTCAACGCACTTGGTAGCACCGACAGTATGATTTAGATTTTCATTCCTACCAACAGCTTCTTTGCACTCAATGTCACCTTCAGTGTATACAGAGAACAAGTTATGCCATTTGTATTGACAGAAAATAAATCTAACTGCAGCTAAGTGAAAAAAAAGAAAATAACAAGATAAAGTGTTATAATTAAAAAGAATTGTACATGTTGTATTCATACTGTTCAATTGACATACAGCAAACTTTCACTAGTACCCAGCCTACTGAGTTCTACCTGCAAATAAGATTCATGCAATCTACTCAGGTTCAATTATTACACATGGTTTTATAACTTAAAATGTTATAAACAGCTCTACAATGTTAAAATGTTTTTCAAATTCAAGCAATGTTCTTGCATCATATTTTACATAAAGCTTGGCAAATCTGCTACTGAGACACTCAAAATGCTTTGGCCAGCATTCTTTAAGTGAAAATCATTTCTTTTTTGAGGAAGGCAAAGAATCAAACACTTAAAACCCATTGAATATCAGTTCAAGTTTCTAAGTGTTCAGCACTACTAAACAGTCTAGAAATGTTCTGACAAAATCTGACAGTTCAATTTTGATAATGCTCTGCTTATTAACCATCACTGAATGACAATATAAAGATTAATAAATACTGGAATAATAACTGAAAATTTTGCATCTAAGAAATTTGAATATTATCTCATCTAATATTATTACTATAAAATTATAAAATATGTACATGTATTGGATGATGATTGAAAAATTAAAGAATATATATATATATTTAAAATACATTTAAAAAATGAATAAGTAGAGGTTATCAGTGATGTTACAATGGCTTTATTATGGATTTTGTGTATTGCAACATCAGATCCATTCTGCCAGGTACCCTGACCTGTTAACAGGCTGCCTCTTTGCATAATTCACTCCACAATGAGATTTTAATAACAGAAAATGTATTAATTATCAGGAGATAGATCTTTATATATATATATATATATATATAAATTCATAATCCATATGGATAAATCCAAAGAGAGCTCAGAGCAAATGATAATTATGAAAGTGGAGACTTTGGATATACATAATAATATTTTATTTCGCTAAACCAATACTACAGTTTCATCTCATCAGACTAAACTGTAAAATCAGTTTTGCAAAATAAAATATAACCTTGGATTTATAAAGTCTCTGCTTTCATAAATTTTATTTATAGATAGATAGATAGATAGATAGATAGGTTAATACCTCGCATTGTCAATCTGTTCATGGCTTAAATGCAATCTGCATTTAAGCCACGAGGTGTTGACCTCAAGGTCCACTTTTAGATTTACATATGCTCTATCCCTGATATTGAACACATATAAATATAGCATACCTTAACACTTTTTTTTATATATATATATATATATATATATATATATATATATATATATATATATACACACATATAATGGTTAAATTAAAAGATATAGCTATATATATATAGTTGTCAAGATGGCCTTCATAGACTAATGAGAAAGCAGAAACAGATTCAAGTCCTACTTACCAATGATTGTAGAATATTGAGCTGGGTGCTGCTATAGAAGTAACCAAGAATCAGATGAAAGAAACATCATTTAAAACTTAAGAATAACTGGTTAATCTTCAATTTGTGTTGGTAATTTTTAAGCTCTTAGCAAAACATACCTCTCTCTCTCTCTCTCTGTCAGGTACTATGGTTGATTATGTCTTACGGCAACTTCTTGTCTTTTTTTTACCATTTCAATATTTCTAGCAGCTGTTTTAAATGCACCAATTTTTTTAATGCTTTACTGAGTGTTTTGTAGATGTTTCGTAGTTAATACTTTGTTGCCCCATTATTTCTATTAATTAATGGTAGGACAACAAAATAAATAATGTGAGACCAACAAATCCAATCTTGTACAAATTGAAGACAATAAAGGAACTGATTAGTCATTTCATTCTGAGCCACTAAAATGGCATTCTTATTTTTCTGCACCATATTAAATTGCTTCTATTTCATGAGCTGACCACATTCACAAACATGATTCAAAATGATTTTCTTTGATAACTAGATGTCTTATCAGTAACACTGGAAGCCATCTAAGGCATCCAAGTTGGTTCTTCTCTTTTGTGAAAAGAAAATTTTGTCACTTCTTATCCCAAGCATGATGGAATCTTGCAATATCCCTTCGGCATCATTTAGCGATCATTTTCATAACTGGATGTTGAAATATTTTTTTCTGTTCCTGAATCTGGACTTCTTAACCTGATGTCCACTTTGTGAACTTTTGTTTTCAACTTCAGACCAGCCAGATTGAGATTTTCTGTGGGTCTTTAATAACTACTCTCTCATCACAATTGGATAGCTTGGGTCTACTAACTCTGTCCTTGGCGCCATCACTTTTTGGATCACAATAAACAAAATACACAGTTGCCAGACTCAGTCATTGTTCATTTTTAATAGACACTGATTCTGAAGTTCAACAATCCGAATATTTTCTACATTTGGTTTGGTTTGTTTTATGACCTATCAACCATTTGGGTCACTTAATGCTGAAATGTAAATGTTTTTGTTTTTTCTAAACAAAGCCTTGTATTTAAAGTTGTTAAATTTTTTTTATTTTAAATAGTTAGTCATGGTTATGTCTTTTAAATTATATTTTTAAAATTAGTTTTACATTTTTTCATTGTTGCAATGATTGTCATTTTGCTATAGAAATATATTGTTGCTCATTTTATTATAAAAATATGTTGTTGATTTTTTGTTGGGGGGGTGGAGTCACATTATTTTGCCCTTTGCTTGTAGCCTAACAGGTGCTACCACCCCGTATCAGATTGGACCTGGGAATAATAGCAATTAAAAAGTGGTTCAACACTCTTCAAGACCTCCAATCTGCCAGTCAGAGGCCTTGCTACCAGATGTAGCTCATCGTCATACCAAGCACAATCGTATATATAAGTTCCACTTGAGGTTTGAACGTGGATCTCAGCAGAGGTAAAGAGCTTCAATGGGAGTATAAATGTTCATTATGAGGAGAAAATTCAAGTTTTGCTCAGATTTGGAGATATTGAACATTAAAAGCCACTTTCCCCCTGTTGAACTATTAGAGCTAGATCAAAGGAGAGATCAGCTGCCAGGCTCTGATCAACTTGATTTTTCTAAGGGCCCCCTTTAAACCATGGTATTGTAGCGACTGTTATGTTTTTCCATGCCCACATTTTATTCATCTGCGATTGGCTAATAAATCAATACTGCCTTTCTATAGAACAATTTAGCCATTGCAGTCTTTGCTTTGAATTTTTCAATTTTGAAATTGCTTACTTGTTTCATTAGTACAAATTTAGCAATTGGTCAATTTTTAACAATATTTTAGTGCAAAATCAACTTTTCCCATGGTTTCACTGGAAGCCTATCTGTAGCTTTAAAAAAGGCGACTTTTTCACAAGCCGCCAGTAGAGTCCAGCAAATTTTGTCTGTCAACACAAACCTATGACTTTACTCACAACATTTCAAACACACAGACACAGAATTTTGTAATACATATATACATATCTCTCTGTGACTCAGCCAAGTTCAATCAACTGAGACTCTGTTGATTTCTCTAACACAACACACTTTCTGATCAATTGTATTCTTGTGTTATCTATTCTAACAAACAGTCCTTTGTTCTAATATTGATTCCTGAAGATTTTTCTCTCTTTCTTTCAAACAATGAATTACAAATCGAAATACAGTATAAGGGAAGCAATTTCTTTTCCATTAATCTAAACATTTTTTTTTTAAGCATTACACCCTGAGCAAAGCGTGAAGCCACTAGGATGCAGGGGGTTGCAGAAGATTTGGAGCAAGAGCAGATAGGAGTGATAGAAGAAAGGATGAGGAGAGGGATAGTGGATAGATCAAGGTAACTGGAGATGTCAATTGACATTACATTTGAATAGTTGGCGATTATAGCTCTCAGGGAAACAGTAATTGGGAAGGGTGTTCCACAGGTGGGAGGTGCAAGGTATGAAGCTATTGGAGTAGAAGAGATGGCTACATTTAAAAGTTTTTACAGTGTAAGGGTGAGAGCAGAATGCCAGCCTCATAGGGCGCTTGAATTCATGGAGTCTGGGAACCAGTGAAAGCAGCTCATTGGAGCAATTAACATGAGAGTATTTGTAAAAAAGACAGAGAGAGGCAACAGCGCACCTGTGAGAGAGCAACTGTAGACGAGATGCCAGATCAGGGCCAATTATATTACATATCCGTCTCTGGATCTTGTCAAGAACTCCGAGGTAAACAGAAGGTGCCCCAGACCATATATGGCAGCAATACTCCATGCAAGGGTGAATGGTTGATTTGTATATTTGAAGTATTGATTCCGGGGAGAAAAATTTCCTGGTGCGGCACAGAGAGCCAACTTTCCTCACGGTGGAAGAAACAATTGACTCAGTGTATTTGTTCCATCTCAGATCAGCAGTCAACGTGAGACCGAGCAGACGCAGGGAGTTGCTCTCAAGAAGTTGACTATCAGACATGCACACAATATTATTGCATATTTTGTTCTTGTATGTTATTTCAATATATACTTGTTGATTTACATTTGGTGTTTTGTTGTTTTCTTGAATCATTAATAATACAAAAGATATATGCGCTAAAGAACATGTATAACAGTATCATGTGTATAGATATTTACTAAAGACCTGAGAATGTTACTGCATAGAGTTTTAACATATAGTAAAAAAAAAAGGCAAGGACCAAGGACAAAGCCCTGAAGAATACTTGCATTGATCTAATGAGCTTCAGTAGAATGACCATCTTTAATTGACCTACAAGTATTATAAGCTATCAGACGGTTTGTGAATGCATGCATTTCCAGATGAGCTGCAATAAAGCATCTGGAAATCAATATGAGTTCCTGCCTAGCAGAGCTTCCTGATATATATTCTACCTATATATCCCCTTTTTGGTTACTTCAGTTTCTCGTTGATGGTGGTTGAACCCACAGGAAATCCTTTTCAAAGAAATGGTGTATCTCTTCAGTGGGGTTTCAACTGAAAATCAGTTTGCCAAATAGAAAGCTACTTGGAAGACAACAATTCTTCACACTCATCCTGTGACCAGCCTATTATAACACACTAAATCATAATAGTTACTATCAAGCTGTAAGGCCAAGGACAGTGCAGCTGGAACAATAGTTACAAAACAAGAACAAAATGTTTTGCCATCTCTGTGACAACATTTTTGACAGTTCGCTCAAACAAACATGGATTTTGCACTTATCCTCCTGCCATATCAGTCTGGCCAAAATTAATGACAGACAAACAATATTTTTGACTATTTCTTCTACAAATAATGGAGACAGGTATCTATCATGTTAGTTTTAAAACGATTCCTAATGGCACTCTTGGCTAATTTAGATTTTATTGGTTTGAAGCATGTTTTTTAGGTAGCAATGCTTAAAAAAAGAAAAGAAATTGATCATAAGATGGAAAGCAGCTGGTTTTTAAAGTTCCTCTCAAAAATTATCAAATTGCTGAGAGGGTAGTTAAAATTCCATCATCCAAAGTTGTTGAAAAATTGATCTTGTTCAAAGAAGGTGTCAAAGTCATTTCTTTTCACACTAATAGGATACATGTTGGATGACAAGCAAATTTTGCTAGTTTGAATCATTCATTTGAAAATAAGTGAAAATACTTTAAAGAATTTCAGAGAAGATGAATATTCATTTGCACAGAATCTTAGAAAAGCCATAAGTGAGAAAAGTGGATTCAAGTTGAAATGATGTATTAGAGGAGATCTTTTGCCAATGCATTTACTTTTCAAAGTATTTTTATACAAGTGATTCATTATAAATGATGTTAGACAGTCATGAGCATAGTGAAGTAGAGAATATGTTCATATTCTGACTGACATCATTATGAAAATACTGAGGTAGAGATGAACAGACCTAGATAGTATCTGATATATGAACATACTGAGGTAGAGATGAACAGAACTAGATAGTATCTGATATATGGACATACTGAGGTAGAGATGAACAGAACTAGATAGTATCTATGAACATACTGAGGTAGAGATGAACAGACCTAGATAGTATCTGATATATGGATATACTGAGGTAGAGATGAACAGACCTAGATAGTATCTGATATATGTATATACTGAGGTAGAGATGAACAGAACTAGATAGTATCTGATATATGGACATACTGAGGTAGAGATCAACAGATTCAGGTAGTGATAAACATATCCACCTGAATATAAAAACTGATTGGTAGATAAAAAGGTAGCTATAAACAGAGTGAATAGTCTTAGATAGAAATATATAAATAGATTGAGATATAGATATTGACACATATGAAGAAACTGAGAAATATGACCAAGCAAATATATTGATATATATGAACAGATGAGTAGGTTGCATGTGAGAAAAGGATGGAGTAAAAAGACATACATGCAACTCGTTTAATCTATGTAAAGATGACTTGGTAACTACAGCATTACACCTAGGGCATGGGGACAGGAAATTTTAAGAACAACTACAAAAGCAGACAAAATGTCATTATCAACCAGAATCCTTGAAAAATAATATCACCAAAATAATTTTCTTTTAACACATCAGATAGGAAATAACTATAAAATAAGATATGTGAGCAAGCCTAAAGTCTATAACCATTCCTTGTTGATGTAGTATCCTATCTTAACAAGTACACTTCACAGAAACATGAATCTTATGGCATTATGCTGACCAGTTAATAGAATTGCAACCACCAGTATGAAAATGGCATCTGTATGTTTGAAATCATAAAAGGAATTTACAACCATCCCGGAAAATAGCCTCAAATCATGTGTGTATATATATATATATATAGATAGATAGATAGATAGATAGATAGATATACATTACGAAATGGTCAAAGTCCGACAATTATTTAAAGACATTTTTATGTTTAACATTCTTTTTATAGATACAAGTATTTTAGTAAAAGCTCTGTTTATAATAAACAGTATGAAATAACATGTACCAGCCTGAATGTCCAAGAAATTTTCATAGATAATATTTGTCCTTTGACAGGATTTGAACCTGTATCCTATACGGAACCGTCATGGAAGATTGAAGTTTATAAGCAGTAAAATTCAACCTTGCCAATCAACCGTGGCCGAGCGGTTAGGCATGTCAAGCTAAATGACGGTTCCGTGTAGGATTCATTGGGTTCGAATCCTGTCAAAAGACGAATATTTTCTATGAGAATTTCTCGGACATTCAGGCCGGTAAATGTTATTTAATATTGTTTATTATAAACAGTGCATTTGCTAAAATACTTGTATCTATAAAAAGAATGTTAAACATAAAAATGTCTTTAAATAGATATATATATATATATATATATATATATAGATAGATAGATAGATATTTGGGACTATTTTCCTGGTTTCTGGTGAAATTTTATATAATTATATTGTCTAATATCTGAGTAGCACAAAAACAAAAGTCTTTGGTAATGGATTATGAAATGTGAAACTCCTCAGATGTTGGATAATTCAGATTTAGTGTCTCAATGGAAAACATGAGAGTGGTTAGAAATATAAAGAAAAGACAGATAAAAAACTTCACTTTTGATTGTCTTTAACCAAACTTGTATAATTATATGATTAAATAAGGAACAATAAGTATAGTGTACATGTGTGTGTGTATGAGTGTTTGTATTGGTTGGAAGTAATTAAACAAAAACAACAAAAAAAATGGGCTTTGGACGCTGAAGTAATCCAGTGATTTGATCTAAAATATTGAGAGTTCAGTACCTGGCTACAGCAGAGGTGAACAAAAATTTGGAGAGTTGAATTACTAAAAGGGAAGTAACTGAAATGGAGATATCCAGAAAGGGTATGGCATGTGGAACTAGAACAATCTACTCCAGTGGACAAAATAAAGTGGTCAATTAAAAATTCCAATGTAGATTTCCTGTAGAAGACTGGAGCATACAATGGTGAAAACATTGTGAATATAACAATAAAGATGATGGCAAAAATCTGAAAAGTGTAAATAGTATAAATAGTTGCAATACTTCACCTCAGAAATGTAGACAAATCCTGAAGAAGGCCAGTCGGAACAATGTAAATAGTATAAATAAAAATATCATTCTAAGAAATTAAGCAATGAAAGTTTTGCTGTATTATGCAAAAATAAATCTACTTACCACATCTACTTTGTTCATGACTGGAGCAGAAAAACTTTTGAAATACATCGGAGAACTTGGAAGTGACTGGCTCTGGCTGATCAGATTTTGTGAAGAAAGCACATTGGAAAGAGGATTGGATTTTTTCTCTAATTCTTCAATGAACATTTTTTTGCCAAAAGGCACCGGTACCTCTTGGACAAGCTGTTGATAATAAGGAACTTTTTCATATTGGAGGTCTTTCAAAGCATCATGGAAATAAGTGTCTACCAAGAGGCCCCTGAAAAGAGATGAACACATTTTCAGCTTTAAAAGACTGTCATTTACATTTTCATGGTCATTTGACGCTCTCAGCACCAATGTACTTTTTTGTCAGCCAAGAATTAAACAGGAAGATTCTCCAGATAAGTGTTGCTGAAAAACAATAGCTTGATGACAAAATGTTAGACACAGCACATATTTGAAAAAGGAGTACATTTAGTTCTACAAAGATAGTGTAGCATGGGATTCAAAACAGTAAGTATCAGAAGCCTGAATCAAATTTTATGTCCATCAGGATCTTGAGCTCAGAAGAGTTGATCTGTGGTGACCCCAATATATACTAGTTTCATGATATGATACCAAAATAACTTCTGCAGTCCATGTCAAATCAGAAAGTCAAAACAGCTAGTTTTCTCAAGGATGAACCTAGAATCTGACCTTAAAGGCACCAAGTGCAGAATCAGGCCTCTAAGGATACTGGGAAGTGCACCAATATAAACAAGGAAGTGAACCCAGCCAAACTTAGGATATACACATGCAAGACAACAGGATAATAGGCAGTATATAAACATGATATGTCCCAAAAAGTGATATATTTGTTTCAAAGTAGCAAACTGGTTTCGATTACTGTAACCGAATAGGACAATCTAGCAGGTAACCGTAATGGACTGGTCCTCATCGTAGTGGTAGACAATAGGTGTAGGCAATAGATGAAGCCAATAGGCATCGTTCCTGTATCTCCACATCAGTCTGTATTTATGGCTGACACCAGCCAATCATATTACTGTGAGGGGGAACCCAGGTGTATGAATATTCATTACATCAAAATATTTGACCTACGAATAGAGAGAGAGAGAGAATTCCTCACACCCTGACAAGAAGATAAAATTTTCAAAAAAAGACTCAATATTAATTTCAGAGAAACTAGAAATGAATAAATGATTTTATGTATTTTTTATCAATTTTTCTCAAAACAATGCAACAATGATACTAAGATGCTAAAAGGCTAATGAGAGAGAAAGAGAATGAAAAAGATTTTAGAAGAAATTGGAAAACTGATCCTAACCAGGGAACAAGGGATAAACCTTTACTCCTGTTCAAAAGACCAGGGAGAAGTGTGAACTGCATGATAAGTGAATCTATCTACTCTTATTGAGGAGAAAAAATAATTAGCAAATAAAATTTCAGAGTTCAGATGGAGATGTTAGAAGTATAGAGTTGATGTAGACATTAGAAGGAACCAGAAACCCAATCCTAAACAGAAAACAAGGAATGACCCTTTACTCCTGCTCAAAAGACAGCTCATATTCTTTTAAGACATTACTATCAGTATATAACAGTAACAAAATTAAACATTTAGCAATTAAATGACAGAGTAGCAAAAATGTCAATTAATTTTCAGTAGCAGTGAATGTGTTAATAATTCAAAGAATCTTGTTTCTTGATCATAAAGAAAGATGAATTTTGTTTTTTAAAAAAGTTCCAGAAAGAAGAAGCAAGAATTTATTAATTTGTTTTTTCAATTATTTTTAAACAAGATTCAAGCTTCATCCAGAATTTAAGAAGTGTAATAGAATAATTTATCTAGAGGAATAAAAAAAAATGTTCTTCATTAAATTGTATTAAAAGGATTTCAAATGAGATTTCACATAATCTTAACAAACATCAAAGTTGACAGAATTCATTCTCTGTGGTAATTCTGTTTTTAGCAAATTTGGGCTGGACATTTCTGCTGTTTTCTTTGTAAAAAAGAGAAAAGGTGGATTTCTTGACTTTTTCTTTTTTGCTGAAAATTTGATAAACAAAAAAGAATTGGTGGCTGATATCAACTCAGCATATTTCCAGTCCCTCCTTTTTCCCTATACCTCAAGAAGGCTTTTGAATAGATTGTCAAAAATATGGCAATGACAAAAAAGCAATCACTAGATCAATAGTTTGAAAAACTCTTGAAATGCCAAGGACTTTTCTTGAAATTATAAAACATGACTTTCTAAAGCCAAGGCTGGAAGAAGAATCAGCCAAAGTACTGAAGGAACAATAAAACCAACACAAAGAATGAGTTTAATGATCAGAACAATACTTGAAATGATAGTGAATCTTCTCAAAATTATAAGGTATAAAATTCCATGCCACACTACAGTATCTGATGATATACAAAGACCCCTTACCTTATTCCCATTTAATATTATAACATTATACAAACATGGTAACTTATGGTGCCTGGGTAAGCATTAACCAATGCCTCGACATTGCATGGAAGATCTAGAAAATAGCATTGAAGCATTTTTTAGGGAAAATGGTGGAAAAATTGTACATTCCATCAAAAAAAAAAAAAAAAAAAAGATAAAATATTTGATACATAAGCATTTTAACCAAAATTTTGTTTAAAAAAAAAAACAAAAAAAAAACATGAGTCAGGGATAAATATTGTTTGACTATTGCATAGAAAATGAAGAACAATTTATAAAATATTTTTTTCCAAAAAGGACATAATTTCAGATAATTAAGTTTTAAGTAGTCACTCCAGCTGTCAAACGTAAAATGGATCTGTTAGTCTCCTGCTTCCCTTGGATATAGAAATGACTTTTTTTTTGCAAATGAAAGGAAAGCAAATGGAATTTTTAGACATTAATATCTCTTAACCTGTTTCTTAAAAAAAGGAATTTTTTTTTTTCTTCTCTTCAATATAAATAAAAAGAATACATTCCTTCACTAAAAAAAGCAATTTTGAATTATAGCAGAAACTTCAAGGATGTAGAAATATGCATTACATTTTATCTGGTAAATACATTTGCATAAACAAAACTTGAGGATACCTGTTTAGAATAATAACTTAGTTTGAAATACAAAAACAAGATTAGAATTCATAAGAGAAAACAATATTTATTCTGGATTTATTCATTAACTTGTAATATTTACATTATTCAAATTGTTATCCTCATCTTCATTGCCATATTCACAACATTTTGCCTGTTGTAAATCCACCAGGGTAGGTTGTTCTAGTTCATGTGCCATGCCTCTTCTGGATGTCTCATTTATTTTCCCTTTAACTAAACTCTCCAAGTCTTGGTTCACCACTGATGTGGCCTCACAACTCTTTGGCTCTAATCACTGTATCTAACCAGCATCTTTATCCACTGGACCATGTGTCCTTGAAGAAATTGAGCAAGGTATGTAGGATCAATCGAAATTTCAATCACCTGAAGAAGGCCAGAGCCTACAACAGCCGAAACATTGTGAATATGGCAATGAAAATGTGGATAACAGTCCAGATAATGTAAATAATGCAAGTAATCATAATACCTCATCTCAGAGATATAGACAGTCATTAACTTGTATATGTATTTTATGTCTGAATTTCTGAAATGAGGTGATACCATTATTTACATTCAGATTAATGTCCTTGTGTCTTCTTCAGGTCTCAGTTGATGCCATGGGACAAAAGCCACCTGGATTAAACTGTTAATTCAGGAATTTGATGATATATTAATTTTGAGTTCAAGCTCAGGGTTGGCTAACACAGAACTGAGTCTCAATAGAGACAAGATGAGCATCAACTGCTCAGTACTAAAACAAAACAAGATGAGGCATTCCTAGATATAAACAAGAGAACAACAATAATCTACTCTGATAAATTAAATAAAGGTCTCATTTCCAAATTCCTTAAAGATTCCATAGATTGACAAATGCCTGAACAAAGTCTGAGAGTACAATGGTCAAAATGTTGTGATAATAACAACAAATATAAAGACATTAGTCCAAAGGTAAATAATGTAATTAATACATTTTCTGTTCAATGAGATTATTAGAATAAATCATACCTAATGATATTCGACATGACTCCACAAAGAATTTCTCTGTGCAACTTTGAACATACCACATTTGAGGGCAGTTTCTGTTTAATTGGCCTCAGTCTTTCTCCTCCTGATCTCAACTTGGAATTTTTGCCAGATATCCTGGAAAGTAAAAACCTTAAAAGTCAGAAGTTCGGTTAAAACCAAAAATCAAAAATTAAAATTAAATCAAGAAAATTGCACAAAGCAACTAAAGGACTTAGCTTGAGAAATTAAAATGTCAAATACAAAATTACAAAGAGACATCAAGGAATGAAAAATTCTTGAAAAAAATCTTTGTCTAGTTTCTTTACATGCAATAAAGCCAACAGATCTGTTCTTGTAAAAGAAAATTAAAATTTCTAGAAAAATCACAAAATTACTTAATTTAATATAGATTCTAACAGAAAAGAGAAACATTACAAACAAAAATAAAATTAATTTCATCAATATATACATTTATAAATCATTTAAAGGATTTCTTTGTTTCTCCATCACATTTAAAGATATGATTCAAAACATTATTATTGGTACAAGTACGCAAAGAATGAGCACATCTCAAAACAGTTCTTTATTTTCAATCAATTCCTATTTAATCCATTTATCTAAATTTTTCAACTTTTACATAGCTTGAGGATGCAAATATGTTGAAAATAAAAGATGACTTAAAATATTCTTAAAGGAACCAGAATTTTGATCAACCCGCATCAAAATAACATCGCGATAAGCTGAAAATATTAAACAATAAAAAAGAATTTCCAATGAAAATTAAGTAAAACATTCTAAAAAGCAATGTTTATTGGTAAGTGTTTTATGGTTTAATCTTTTTGCAATTATCTTTGATAATAGTTGATGAAAAAGCTGTTCACTTAAGAGGATTTATATCACCTTTTTCTTTGCCAGTAATTTTAAATGCCTCCATTTGATCAAGATATACTTATTTTTCAACTTTCCTACCACAGTCCCACAAGAGTTATATACGATGGCATCAAAATTAAACAGATGAAAATTTTTCAAAATCAGTGCAGTGTAAAACTACAACAAATGCATCAAAAAAATTCAAAGTCTGACAGGAACAGTGAAAGAAACTAAGCAAAGGTATGTAGGGATCAAAAATAACATTAGAAACAATGAAAGCTTTGCTGGACTGCTTTGTAATGTCGACTTTCTTCAGTATCTGTCTATATTTCTGAGATGAGGTATTATGTACACTATTTACATTATTCGGTCTATTGTCCTCATCTTTGTTGCCATATTTATTACAACATTTCAGCCTTTCAGTATCTGTCTATATTTCTGAGATGAGGTATTATGTACACTATTTACATCATTCGAACTATTGTCCTCATCCTTATAGCCATATTTATCACAACGTTTCAGCCCTTCAATATCTTATATTTTTGAGATGAGGTATTATGTACACTATTTACTTTATTCAGTCTATTGTCCTCATCTTTATCGCCATATTTATTATGACATTTCAGCCATTGTATGCTCCAGCCTTCTTCAGGTAGTTGGAATGTCGAACTGAACCCTTTATTTTGCTCATTTGCTCACTGGGGTAGACTGTTCTAGTTCCATGCGTCATGTCTAATGGATGTCAGTTATCTCGTTAATTTCCCTCAAGTTCTCCACTGCCTTAACCGGGTATTGAACTCACACTCTTTGGGTCCTATCACTTGATCTTACTAACTCCTTTATCCACTGTGCCATATGTCCTTGTAATAAATATGGTGACAAAGATGAAGACAATAGTCCGAATAATGTAAATAGTGTCTACTTTCTTATATACAAGTGAATGATGGACAGTTCCATCCTAAATAGAAAATTACTTAACTAACATACAAGACATTTTTAAGGAGAATAAGAGCAACAAACTGTTGATAACAATCAGGGAGAGAGAGAGAGGAAACTTTAGAGACATATTGAGGAAAGAAATTTTGCAGAATTTAACACTAATAAGACAAGGTTAAAGGCAAGAGAAGCAAAAGTAAACAGCAAGCAACTAACTTTGTGTAAATGGATGGCAAAAAAGATCACATTGACAAAGAGTTTTTTTTTGTTTTTTTTTTAACTAATGTATGCCCAAGAGCCACACAAGGTAGAGGCTTACTGTATGGTGTTTTATGAGCATAGAAAAGGGTAAGAAAGAAAGTTCTTAGGGTTATGCAAGAAAAATAATAGCTAACTCCAGTCTTGAAAAGTTCAAGAGCCATTCAAGGTAGAGGCTTACTGTATGGTGTTTTATGAGCATAGAAAAGGGCAGGAAATGAAATTTTAGGGTTATGCAAGAAAGATAATAGCTAACTCTAGTCTTGAAAAGGTCAAGAGCCACTCAAGGTAGAGGCTTACTGTATGGTGTTTTATGAGCATAGAAAAGGGCAAGAAATGACATTTTAGGATTATGCAAGAAACATAATTATTAACTCTCGTCTTGAAAAGGTCAAGATTTAATAACATTTCAGAGTTCAGTCGGAAATGTTAGAAGTATACTGTTGAAGTCGAATGAATTGGAAACCCAATCCTAAACAGGAAACAAGGGATAAACCTTTACTCCTGTTTAAAAGAACAAGGAGGAGTGGGAGCCAGATCATAGGTCAACCTATCTACGCCTATCAAAAAAACAAATATTGCTTAAAGCAACAAGTGCGGAAGTTGTGAAGAGCCATAATTGCTATATCTTGAAGAACAGCACATAGAGATCACAGCTAACTAATGTTGAAGAGATAGAATCTTCAAGGTTTACCAAATGTTCTTGCAATCTATTTATCTTTGACAAATTCTGTTGTCTTGCTTCTTATGCTGTGTCCCTTCAAGATGTTGGTGATCTTAGCTTTCCGCAATTTTTGAGTCATCCTTAATGACATTCATGGCTCTTCAGTAAAATTTATAATGATTATTCTCAACTCTGGATTGAAATGTCTGAAATACTGTCATTGCATTGATCATTTGTCAGAAGCTTCTTGTCAAATCAATGCTTTCCTGTTTGACTGCAATAAATATTGAATGTAAAAATTCATCTGGTAGGACCCCAAACAATAATAGATGAGACAGATTTAAAATATCAGTTGACAGAAGGACACAATCTCTTATCCAAAATCCTTCTGACCAGACACTCTTTGAAATTATTCAGATTTTGGAATCTTCATTCTCATAACATATATATGATAAACAAGTCAATTGTTATTTACATTATTTATACTGTTTGGACTGTTGTCCTCACAATGTTTCAGCCATTGTATTCTCCTGCCTTCTTCAGATGATATACGTTTGAACTTTGAAATGGACTCTTTATTTGGTCCATTAGATTAGATTGTTCTAGTTCTACATGCCATCTAGATCAGCAAATTAGTATATTACACTATATAGCAGGCTTCTTTATTACAAGATGCAAGTTTACATTCTGTTTAAAATTGTAGCAAAATAAAAAAAGAAGCTTTAAACTTATTGTAGCAATTAATGCCTGCAATTGTTTTTTTCTGGCTCTCTCATTCACAACACTTGTATCCAATTCAACACAGTTGTTTGGGTATCAACCAATGGGGTCAGAAACCAAAAATATAATCCGTGTGCCAACACAAAGGTCATTCAAAAATCTGTCATAACAGTCCTGCAGGCAACAGAGTAATGAAAAAACAGAGTCAGAAATCTAACCTTCACTTTGCAACAGCAGAAACACTTGTTCACGCACCGAGTTCAAAAATCATTCTGCTCAGTAAGCAAAAAATAACAGCCTTTATTCACTAAGCCATTTTTCCGATTGGCAACACCTTTCAGGGAGGAAATAACATTAGCATAGTTTCTCTGATACTTAAAATAGCAGGTGTTTGCTATTTTCTTTAATTCTCCTATGGCAGACCATACACAAAACACAAACTCTTTTTCAAGGTAGGTGATTTTCTCTTTCACTATAGTTTTGGTTTCAAATGCCCACATTTTAACTTGAAGACTATTAGAAAAAAATTATGATTTAAAAAATCTTGAAGCAGCAGTGAAAAATGCATGGAATATGATGCTTTTTTAATCCTAATCTGAAATAGTGCTGAGGTTAGAAATGACACTTGTAAGGTTTTTTTTTTTCCTTTTCAGCTACTGCAGGTTTTCATTGTACAATATCCTATCATTTGGGCTGCAGAAAGTTTTGAGTCTTTTCCAACCGATTCCAATATTGGAAACCTGGTATTATGATGAGGAATCAATAAAGTTATCTCTTGTAGGATCTTAGTTCTGCTAGCAAAAATAACTGCAGACATTTGGCGCCAAAAGTCCATGACTAACAAACTGCTGTACCAATCACTGTTTTAAGATATCAGTTTTCATTTTGCATATTGAAACTATCATCATAGGCACCTTGCCAGAGAGTGAGAGTCAAGAAACTATCCAAGCAGACAAGTCCTACTGTAGTATTTTTACTTCTCACAAGTGCTCTATGCTCTCAGTCTTACACCAGTCTAAGATCAGTAAATACACTTTTTTTATATATATATATATATATATATATATATATATATATATATATATATATATATATATATATATATATATATATATATATATATATATATATATATATATATATATACACACATATATATATATATATATATATATATATATATACACACACATATATTTTTATATATATATTTATATACATATATATACACACATATATATATAAGTAGACATTGAAATCAACACCCAGAGGCAACAGTATTTCATGCTAAATGCAGCCATCAGACTCTCATTTCTGGGTTTTGACTTCAATGTCCACTTTTATATTTACATATGCCCTATCCCTGATACTGAGCACTTTAACCCGTAAATATAGCATAACTTAAAACTATATATATATATATATATATATATATATATATATATATGCATATATATTTACTGGTCAATCATTTTTCTCTTATGCAGATTTAGTTAAGACACAAAGTTTTCTAGTTAAAAAATCTTTATAATTTTTTTCTACCTAGTTTGGATCATTTTTATGATTTTTAGGAAGAACTTGAACATAAAATGTGCAATATCTTCTAAATTCTTTCAGCCTTCATATGATAATGGTAAAATAAGCCATTTCCTCATAAGAAAACATTTGGCATTCATTGACAGAGTAGTTAACACTACCATCAGTTACACTGTATAAAATCTTTTTCTTAGCACATTTTTTCATGTACACTGTCAATTCTCTTTCCAGTACTGATAAGGGGTTTCCATCTTAACCTTTTTTTTGAAATAGTGTAGAATGTTAAAATCTTGATTATGTTGTTACTTTCTCGATTTTACTGTTTAAAATTATAAGTTTAAAAACAGTAAAATCGACTTTGCTAACCAAAACACTCTTCTGTAGTGAAATCGGTAAAAGCACATCCGGCTACATGACTGTTCTGTATAGGATTCAAGTTCGATTCCTGTCAGAGGATGCATAATTTCTATGAGAATTTCTCAGACATTCAGGCCGGTAAATGTTGTTAATACTGTTTATTATAAACAGAGAATTTACTTAAATATTTGTATCTATAAAAAGAATGTATAAACATAAAAAATGTCCTTATTGACTCAATATAAATATTCCAATTTATATCAGGGGAAAAATCAAACTGAGAAGGTGCAATGAGTTGCTCTTCAAGAGGTTAGCATCAGCCATAAAAAGTTTTTCTAAGATGATTAAAATAGAGCAGCTTAGTTTTGAAGGTATAAATATTAACAAGCCATTGTCTCATAAAACAATGCACTTTTGTAGTAAGTTTTATCACTTGTTCCTCTATACTGTAGCTTTGCGTCAGACAAAGCATAGTAAATACCTATGAAAGTAACAATAGTAATACTCACTTATCAAAAAAAAAATGTCTATATTCCTCTGGCTGACCGACTTCAAATTCTTCCACATCATAAGTCCTGGCTGTAATTCCCAAATGTAAAATTGAAGTTGCTGGTGGTTGTGGTTTTTTCCAGTATTTCTTTTTCTGGGATTTTTTTGTATGCCGTTGAATATCAATCTGCTTGTCCATCGGTATTTGCTTGATGGGGGGTAATGTTCGATAACTGACAACTTGTTCTTCCACAGGGGAACTTTCTTCACTCAAGGAGGTAAAAGGAAACATCCTTCCTGGGGATACCACCAACTTGAAAAAGCAAAAAGAAAACAGTAAATAGAAAACATTTCTACCATATTCACATTTAAAATTAATTTTATTAACACAAACATTCTGGTTGAATCCGGCCAACCAAAACTAAAGTGGCCATGAAAAAGATCCAAACTAAATATAATGAGTAAAAATACCTTGATTATATAGTGCAGGCAAAAGTTTTGCACACAAGTGTAGATCCTGGACTAGGTCTGTACTCATATATATATATATATATATATATTGTTATATCTCGTACAAGATATAATAAACAAAGTAAACCCGAGTGTGGTTTTCAATAATAATTTTATAATCGGATGTAGGTATGTCAAAATACAAAGACAGAGTCAGGAGTAAGCTAACCGCAATGGTGTTAGTAAACGAAGACCTTCTTTTGTCGCCTCTCCTTACTGTTTCCTGTGGTCGTACTTTATCGGCCACCAGACCAAGTCCATTATCGTGAATGGGGAAGTTGGGTTATCTCATCACAATATATATATATATATATATATATATATATATATATATGGTATGAAAGAGATTTGTAGAAAGCTGAAAAATTAAATTTAAATTCAGGTTATTTTAAAACTTGTAACATTTAAAAATAAATTAAATCCAGAAAGAGTTAAATGTGAAGAAGAACTACTTGTTGATTGTTGTAGCCATCTTGTTTTACTATCTGTAGACACTTCACCAGAAAACTATTAGGCTGTATATTTTAAACCGAAGTATAAAAAATTATATGGCTTCAAGGAAATGATGTCTGTAGGTTCCGGCAAGAATCCTCCTTCTTCAAAAGACCAGAACTACAGAATAACAAAGAAACTTATAAAGTCTTTTTCTTAAAACAATTCTTCATGAAAATAGCTTTACGTCCAGTAACATTTATCACCATATCGACCATGGTAAGATTTGAACTCGGGTTTCATGATCAGAATGCAAATGTTCTAAGCACTCAGACATGTGCCTATATGATATTAATATCATATCATATTAATATTAATATCATATAATATTAATATCATATATTAATATTATACCATATCATATTAATATCATATATTAATATTATATCATATATTAATATTAAATCATATAATATTAATATCTTATATTAATATTAATATCATATATTAATATTATATCATATAATATTAATATATCATATTAATATTAATATCATATATTAATATTATATCATATCATATTAATATTATATATAATAATGGTAAAAAATAAAAATCTAGAGAAAATGATTGGGGCTGAAAACAAAATTTTTGTTAAAGTAGAGTTCATTATGAGGAGGAAAGTTTATTTATAATCATATGTTGTAAAATTTCAAAATCTAAATTTTATATTCTAGATATATTTTATTCTCTTCATCATGTTGTAACAGAAGAGAACTATGGTAGAAAGATTTATTCTCCCATTTGTATTCCCTCCATCATGGGCATTATTATATCCGTGATATAATGACACCAATACTTCAGGGACAGAATGGAATGGCTGAAAGGAAAAAAAATGACAAACATGCTTTGTTCTCAGAGAGACTTTTATACTACAAAGACGCATGCAAAACTATATATACACATATCCTACGCAAAGAATAATATATCACATATATCTACACAGCAAAGCAAATTGCAAGGTGAAAAAAGGAATGGTCTTACATATAATTTGGAGGTACACTTGTATTTAGAGAAACCAGATTCAAATGGGCCAGATTCTCTATGTCCCAGCTGAGGACATATTCCATGAACGGGAAACTGCGAGTCTTAAGTTTTCCCCAAATTGAGGACTGTAAGTTGGAGTTTCATTCTATATCTAGCAAAGATATATTCCTAAAAGGAAACAGCACCATGGACTTGTAAGCTGTTGGGTAGACAGATTTAGCCTATGCCCAGGCCATGGGGGCCCAAGCCAATGAAAACAATCTTTTGTTTTGGCTGCTGTACTCAGACTAAAATTTGATTGCCACATTTCATTACTGTATGGAGTAATATTATTAAACACCTCTTACATGACCCACATGACTTATCTTCACCAAAGGGAGATAAGCACCTTCTGTATCATTACAATGTCAATTTACATGAGCATTTTCATTGGTTGGTTTATGTTTAAATAGAGGATGACAATGCAAATAAGAACCTAATTTCTTGCAGGCAATTTCATAGGCAATTAACCTGAAAAATTAGCAGAAGATAAACTAATTAGGATTAATCTATATAATATGCTAAACATGTTTCAAAGGAATGAGTTGGGCTAATTTGGTGCATTTTATGGCATACCAAACTTTGATTAGTGTCAAAATCATTTTTTTTATAATACTTAAGTCTGCAGATAAACATTGTTCATGATTATTTGTGAATCTGTAGACATTTATTTAGTAGCTGACCCTTTTTCAGAGGGTCTTACTTTTCTGCAGAGGGGGTGCATTTGATATATCAGCCCCCACCACTGATAGAGCTGTTATTTCAAAGGATTAAAACATAAATAACAAAATACGCATTAAAATCATTTTTTAATGATATTATTTTGAAAATATCTAAAAAGACAAAAAAAAACAGTTAAAATGCTGTCAAAAGTTGCATTCCCAAATTTCATTCATTGACTATTGAAATATTTTCTGCTTTTAATATCTCACTATATTTGCAGGTATAGCTGGCCACTTTTATTCAAGGAAACTGTCTACAATCCCTATTGCAGACACTTGCTCAGTTGCATTTGTGTTTATTCAACACCGACAGAGCCCACCTGTGGTTTATACTGCAACTATACTGAGCAGACCTTAATTACAGTTTCTGGGAAAGAGTGTGTTATATGGCGTGATCAACAATTTGAACAAGTCCAGCATGCTCAAGTCCTCAGCCATGATGACTTGTGGTTTTGTGCTAGCACAGCTATCAACAGCCCCCAAGGGTTCTGTCTACCAAATTTCATTCACAAGGCTTAGGTCAACCGATGGTATGGTTTTCAGGCACTTTCCAAAGGTGCCGCATGCTGGGATCGCCCTCCTCCAGACCAATAATTTCAGGAAGTCTCCATCTTGACAAATCGACCATTGTGAGATTCAAACCTTAGTCTCATGGTCAGAATGCGAACACTCTAACCACTCAGCCACATGCCCACAATTTGGGGAGAGTAACTGTCATTAAATGTTCTTTTGGTGAACAGTAAAATATTTCCTCTGCTTTCCTGAAATACCAGTTACAATATTGGTATGACAGTGTGAGTTTTCAACTGAGGATCCCAAACCACGGTCGTGTTTTGTAAATTTTAATTACCTGTCATCAAATGAGGCAAAATCCTTGACATATTGCAGATTATTAAAGCCTTGACAGTCAAATTCTACTTTGTAATTAATGAAATTTTTCTTTTCTATTTATTTCTTGACAAAAGATTTGAGCTATCTTGTTTCTCGAGAAAAAATCTAAGAAAATTATTTTAAAATTTTAATTAAATTTTTTAATATTGCATTAATTTCCTGATCAAAACTTCTTGACATACCAACTTTATATGATTTGCTATTTACCATTTTCTTCACAATCCTTAAATCCTGTCTTGAAACACATTAAACCTGGAATTTATCTACCATGGATAATGAAATCTCATATATATAATTTATACAACTTTTCATAATCAACATCCTGGCATCTAAAAATGATAGAATTCTAGAACATCCTATGTGTTCTTCTGAAGACCTTTGGGCTATTTTTGAAATTTCTTAATCTAACAGTGAATCAGAAAATGTTTCCATAAAATTAATAAATCAAGCCAATTACAACAGTGACTGTGCAAGAGCAGCTGATGAGATAATTTTAACAATATGATAGCTTATATATTAATATGGACAGTAAAAAGGAAAAAAAAAACAACATTTCTAATTAAAACATATTCCCACCTGGGGAATAAAAGTGCAAAAGAAAAGAATTAAAATAATCCCAGTCTCAGGTTATTAAGCAACACAAATATGATTGAATTCTAAAGAATAAGAATTTATTTTCTATTTTCTATAAATTTGTTATTAAAAATATTGGACCCTTATTTTCAAAGCAGTAAGCATCATTCATACAAGAGTGATAAAAATAGATAGAGAGATGAACAGAATGAGATAGATAGATAGATAGATAGAATGATACATAGAAACATAATTAGATAGACAGATATGATACATAGAAACATAATTAGATAGACAGATATGAACAGAATGAAATAGATATGAATAGAATGAGATAAATATATAGATAATGTTTGTAAGGGTGGACTTTCTTGGTTGTCTCATGAAGATAGAGCAGGAAGAATTTGTTATTAAAAATAATGGTCCCTTATTTTCAAAACTGTAAGCATGTTTCACACAAGAATGATAAAAATAGATAGAGAGATGAACAGAATGTGATAGATAGATAGATAGATAGATAGATAGAAAGATAGATAGATAGATAGATAGATAGATAGATATGAAATGGACTGAGATAGATAGATAGATAGATAGATAGATAGATAGATAGATAGATATGAAAAGGACTGAGATAGATAGATAGATAAATAGATAGATAGATAGATAGATAGATAGATATGAAAAGGACTGAGATAGATAGATAGATAGATAGATAGATAGATAGATAGATAGATAGATAGATATGAATAGAATGAGATAGATAAATAGATAGATTATGTTTGTAAGGGTGGGGCTTTCTTGGTTGTCTCATGAAGACAGAGCAGGAAGAATTTGCCAAAGAACAAACATGACCTTTTAAAAATTCATAGAGGAAGCAATTTCTATATTTTGATTCTCTTACTGGTTTTACTTCATCTTCTTACTGTTGCTTTTTATCACATCACTCTCTGGGTCAAGATGCTCTTTAGAGAAAACAGTACAAACTGTGTATTAAACCAGAATATTGTGATAAAAAAGTAGTAATTATAAAATGGAATACAGCTCATAAGTAAATAAATCATAAAGAAGTGTATCACATCAGAATATTCTGATAAAAAGGAACAAGACTTTGGAATACAATTAGTAAATAAGAAAAAAAATGAATTGGCCAGAATGTGTGATGTTTAGATGTGATGGTTATTATTGGGGTGTTGGTATCTATACCACCAAACGTCAAGTCCTACATTGAGAAAGTCAGAATAAATTGATTGATTCATTTTCTATGGCTTATCAACTCTTTTCAGGTTATAGCCAGAAAATATTTTTAGATTGTAAGATTTTCTTTTTGAGATAATACCAATTTAGTGATACTAGTCTTACTAATTAACCAATAGCTGAAGTAAAACAAAGTAGATTTATACCTTTCCCAAGGTTATTTGTGCATAAGTGAATATAGCAACCAAACTTGAAACTCGGCTCTCTGATTAACAATTCCAAACCGTTATACATTAAACCCCTCACACATTCAAGCTTAAAGCACCTGGTATTAATTCGGTGATTATATAGTGATATAATGGAATATGCATACACCTGTGTTCCCCCTCACTGGAGTGTGATTGGCTGATGTCCGTCATAAATATTGACGGACGTGTAGGAGAGGAAGAGCCTTAGTCTATAACGACACCCATTGGACTATGCCATTGATCTACATTTCTTACCTGCGACTACAATGTGTACCAGTCAATTACTGCTATTCTACTAGGTTATAGTAGCCAAAACCACTTAGCTACTTCGTTTAAATATATCCCTTTCCAGGACATATCATATAGAATAAAGCATAGTATCCCGTTCAAAAGGATACCTATGTTTTAAAGATTATGCAAAAACTTTTGATAAAGTACATCACAAAGAACAGTTAGAACTTCTCGGTAAGCTTGATATATTTGGGAAAAGTAAAAGAATAATCCAAATTTCCTATTGGGAGCAAAGCACCGGCATGCAGATAGAAAATGAATTCAGTAAATATAAAAAAATAAAAATTGGTGTAAGGCAAGGATGTGTCTTCTCACCAGACCTATTCACAATTTTACATTGTAGTAATCTGGAAAAAATTACAAGTTCTACAAGGATTGATTATTGGCAGCCCCAATCTTAACCCCATTAAATATGCAAATAACACAAATGCTGAAAGCAAAATCAGGAAAGAAACTATAGGGACACCTAGAGAAGGTATTAAAGAAAAAGCAAGAAGAAAAGACTAAACATAAATTGTAAAAAAATAGACTGTATGGTTGTCAGCAAAAGAAACAGTTCACAAATTACAAACTGGAGATACCGAAATTAAATCTGAAGATACATTGGGATAGCGAAAGATGTCATTCAAAAACTAAGCTAAGTATTAAGAAATTAGAAAATCTCATTAGAAACAAAGTAAAGAGTACTGAACTCTTATGCAATATCAATAGTACTACATTGCAGTGAATGTTGGACAATCTCATCACTGATGAAGAAGAGACATGAGACAGTAGAAATATAGAAAATTTATAGTTTTAGAAAAACTGAAAAGTTAAAGGACACTTATACTTAGCATCAGAAAGAGTGATTAAATTTCTTGGTCATATAATGAAGAAAGAAGGCTAAGAAAGTTTCACACTCACAGGATATACTGAAAGCAAGAGGAAAGAGCACATAACCTAGCTAAAGAACTTGTGTAAATGGTTGGCAGAACAGAAATTACAAGAAATAGCAACAAAAACAAGATAATTTATTAAGAGCTACTAAGGACATGGAATTTTGAAGAGCCTTGATCACACAGGTCTTAAAGAGAGTACCCATAATGCAAATTCTCCAGTTGAAATTGTAAACCATACTAAATAAGATGATGATAATAATAATAATGATTAAGAGTATGTTAACAAATGGTCTTGTAATAATAAAACAATAATAATAATTAAAACCAGTAATAAAATAATATTAATAATAAAGAGTCTATGAATCTTGAATTTTGGGATTATTATGTTGGGATAATAATGATGATAATGATTAAATAGTGTTGTACCCTGTCTAACCTCCAATTCTTTAACTGAAATGGAAGTGCTCACTTTGATGTTCTCAGCTCCTATGACAAAAATAGACCTTAATTTCACCTGGCTCCACATTCTGGAATACCGTTCGAGTATACCAGGGCCATAAATCATTTTTCTGACAAATATAAAGGTGAACATGGTTTTTCTAAGCTACTGACTCACTATAAAGCCAACACTAATTCCATCCACAAAAGAAGATACCACTAGGCCAACATTAGTGATAGACCCCCATGGCAGGCAAGCTTAACCAGGCCATCTGCAATGACACCAAAATGCTTCCCATCAACATTGATGCCTTCAGCTAGCAACAAAACTAGTGACAACAGCAGAGGCTAACTCTCAGCTACAACAATGTAGAATATTTTTCCCATGAGTCTATCTCACTTGACAACACATGCATGTTGATTTTCTTCCATGAGGCTATCCTTGTAAATCATGGGAAATAAACAAAACTATTTAACTTAACTCAACTACATCTTTTCTCCATTTGTTGCTTTTTCACTTTCACTTTTTTTTTCTTTTTAACACAAAGGTTTCTGTGACATTAGTAATAAAATAGTAATAGCTATGGTCATGTGACAGAGAATTTCTATGTTGCAGATCCCATAGACTAAAATTGATTACATATGCCCAGCTTTGATTTTGAAAAGTTCTTACTCCACAGACAGAGAAGTTATCTAAATCTGAACTGGCAAGAAAAAAAAAAAAGAAACATTTCTTATAATTGCTCAACCTCACCTCAATGTCATTCATTTCTGGAGTGACTACATCCGGATTCTTTTCTGTGAGTGTGAATTCCACTTGTTGCCGATTCCTTTCATTCTCCCAAAGTCTTAATTCCTCTTCGTATTTTGCAACTTCAGTCTCGTCAGTGATCTGAAAAAATAAATAAAAAAATGAGGGAGAGTGTTATCATAGAATTGAATGTTTTACTTCAGATAAGATCTTTAAAATTCAGTTTTGGGTGTCTAGATAAACCAAAAAGTCCATAGCCTAATGAGGGAATATTTTTTTTTATTTTATACAACAAATGTCTATTTTTCAATCTCCTTTTCTTGTCAATGCACATAATCCCATGCTTCTCCATTAATTATATAAATTGAAAATTATACAGTGAAATCTCCATAGTAAAATTCACTTAAAATGTGTCAAGCTAAAAATTGATCGATTCACACTTCTATGTACCTTTTGGAGTGGACATTATGACAACACATGGAGAGTAATGTTCTTTGCACTATATATATATATATATATATATATATATATATATGTATATATATTTGATAAAATATAGTTTTAAGGCATGCTATATTTATGGGTTCAAGTGCTCAATATCAGGATAGTATGTACGTAAATATAAAAGTGGGTATTAACATCCAGAAGTGACAGTCCGTTTCATATTGGCTGTCAGACAATTTCTGTGACTACATCACCCCTTACATCTGGACACCTAACTTGCCTTGATTATTATGGATGAGGTGCAGTTGATCAAGAGACCAACAAAACTCCTTGTAACACTCCAGATGAACTGAAAGCAAGGATTATCGCAGCATTCACTAACTTGAACAAGGAGACCATCTAGGAGACAGGAGATTGTGAATTCACGTGGCAGCCATGGTTGAAGCCAATGGCAATTTTATTGAATAACTTTACTCTTTAGTATTTCAATATATTTTTGTGTAATTTTGGTAAATATATCCGTTAAAATGTCAATATTAATTTTATTTTTGCATAATTTTGATGAAAAGTTATCCATCGCACCCTGTTCATATACATATATATAGATATATATATTCATTGAAGCATGTTTTATTAAATAATATAGACAAGTTTTGTCTGTTTATTTTAAGTAAATTCGTTTCATATTGTCTGATAAGCTTAATAACATTATCATTGAAAGATGAAAGAAAAACACCATATTGATACATGTTTTTTAATCCTATCTAAGCTTTCAGCTTACTTAAGCCATTATAAAAAATGACAATTACATTTCAATATATTAAACAATACACAGACAAAACAATAATGATAGTCTGTTTTTGTTGCATGAAAGATTTCCAAGCAATGACAAACTTGTGTATATGAGATGCAGAAGCAAAAATTGCATCGCAGCTCATGATATCAAACCTGAACACGTGAGACTGAGTATGAGAAGTATTAAGTATGAGAAGTATAAACCAATGGCATCTGTTACCAATTATAGGCATTTAAGAATATTTGTGGAGATTTCATAGTTTAATTTGTTCAGGTTAGGTTTCAACTGTTTTATGTATATTACTTCAAGAATTTTTAGTTTTTGTTTTCATGTTTAAGTATAGTTGTATTTTCAATTAGGATTTTCTGGAATTGCGTATGTGGTCAGGAATGTTGTTTTAAATGCCTAAAAAGGTTAGAGTTATCATTCAAATGTAGTTTGTGGTGTGACCAACTGTCATATATACCATATGTATAATCAACTTTTAAAAAAAATAGAAATTTAGACACTATACCAAAACATTGCTAAACTCCAGGATGAACAATTAATAGAAACAACCCCAGAATTTAAAGACTTACTTAAGGCCAAGGCATTCAAGGATCAGCATGATAAAAGCAGAAACTCCTCAAAAATACTTTCTAAACAACTAAAAATTATTAAGCTTATCAAACAATATGAAAGGAATTTACTTAAATAGACAAAACTTGTCTATATTATTTAATGAAACATGCATCAATGAAAAAATACTTCCTAAATACACACACACACTATATATATATATATATATATATATATATATATATATATATATATATATATGGGGAGGGTATGAGTGTGTGAGAGAGAGAGTGGGTTCAAATTCAAACTGACAATTCTTTCTATTCATTCTGAATGCACAAAGCCACTTTTCCCTACTCGCTGAGCTAGACATCTTAACATTTTGGCCATTGTGCCCTATAAACACTGTGATATGTGCCCATACAGTTTTAGTTTACATCTCTTCACAATGTCTTCAATGTTGTCTGATGATTTGCCTAATTTTTTTTATCACTTTTTTGTTGGTGATATGATATTTGTAAGTGATGACTCAGTTTTCAAAAGCATCTCATCTCTGTGGACTCTATTTTCTTCTCTATAAAAATTCCCCTTCCTCTTCCCTAATTAGTATACACTGTGCTTGGCCAGTCATGTGGCTCTTAAGCCCAGCCTATTCAGAGGAGAGCTTTTTGGGGAGACACTGCTAAAAGTAGATGCTTTCCGGACATGTGGGTAAGACACAGCTTTCTCATAATATTATGTACCAGGCCTGTGAATAAAAACCTGATTTTGTTACATCCACTATCTTTTTCTTTCAGGGTCAGAAACAAGGTATATAACACAATTCTACATTTTGTCAGTATGATCTATCTTTCATTTAGAATCTTCAAACTTCAAGCTATTTTTCACTCTTCATATTAGATTTTGGGAGTAAATATCTGTTTTTGATAGACAGATACTGCCAAGACTGTGCACATGTATTTGGTTGACCCAGCACAGTGTCAAGATTTGTGATTCACAGTTGTACAAGATTGATGAAATGACCACAATGTGTCTGATATTCAAACTAAATGAGAGACTTCTGTCACTTCAGATGCCCTTTCATTTAGCTATTACTCTTGTTATCTGTGCAATGCTGTACTATTTTAAGCTTTTATCCTTGGCCTCTTGCAGTATTTCATGCCTGTCCTAAATTCAACATTTTACTGCCTTTCCTTGAGCTTTGAATTCAATTAATTTCTTCTTTCAGTGCAGCAATCTTCATTGATTTCAACTTCACAATTTATTTCCTTAACTGTTGTTTAAAATACTGAGATCAACTAGTCTCAGCACACAGCACACTGTTTAAATGAGTATCTTTATCTTTATTGTTTTTATCACAATGTTTGGCCAATATAGTCTTTAGCCTTCCTTCTGCTGTTTTATTTGATGGACTCGAGAAGAAATCCAACATGACTTTTCAAACCACACGAGGCAAAAAAAACAAAACATTTTATCAGTCAAAATCAATGAAGATAAGTCCACATAATGTCTTTTTTTAAAACTTTTTTTCTCTATTTAATCTGTTCCCATTCCCCATTCTCTTCAACCATTTTCTTTGATTCCTTTTTCGAGTTTCTTTTTGTCAATATTAAATTCTTACATTTTTCTCTTCATTTCACTTTACTTTCTTTCCTTCCTTCATTTTCAATGACATTTTCCCTCTATTTTTTTTTTATTTCTTCAAATGGCATTTATTTTTTTCTTTAAAATGAAGATCATTCTTTCTTCCTGCATCCTTTAAAAATAATTTTCTTTTTATTTAAGAAACAACTCAAGATGAAAGCTATGTATTGGAGATGTTAATAAAATCAAACAAGTACAACTGCATACCATAACAAGCAGCAGAAAATATGACACAACAATCTGAATAGATATCGGAATAACAGAAGATGCCTTCCAGAAACTTAGCAGGAAAATATCATTAGAAACAAAGAAAATTGTACTGAATTGTTATGTAATATCTAATCTATATGGCAGTGAATGATGCACAGATGAAGAAAAAAATTTAAGTTACAGAGATGAGAATATGATAGAGTGAAGATAAGAAACAAGGATGATTTAAGGATAATATGAACTAAAAAAACACTTAATAATTGAAATCGGAAAGTCAAATATAATGAGGAAAGAAGGTTTGGAGAATTTAACATTCAGAGGATAAATTGAGGGCAAGAGGAGCAGTGGGAAACAGCAATTAAACTACCTAATGAATTTGTGTGAACAGAAAAGGGTGACAAAGAGGAAGGTGAAATGTTACTTAGGGTAAGAAAAGATGGGAAGTGGTGAAGAGCCATAAACTCCCATGTTCTGAAAAGACACAATATATCAAAGGTTCTCTTATATTTTTTCTTTCATTGAATTTTGCATTTTCCTCATTTATTTCTAATCTTTATTCCTTTTTCTTTTTTTTAGTCCAACAGTTTTTGTTTTCTTTATTTTTACTTTCTGTGTTCTTTGAAGCAATTGCTTTTTCTAGTTTTCTTATTTTCTTTGCTTTTTTGTCTTTAAATTTATTTGCTTTTTCTCTTTTTCTTTATTTAGTTTGCTTCCTTCCTCTTTTATTTGTTTCTTTTTTTGCTATTCTTCCTTCCTTCCATCTTTGTTCTTTTCTGAATTCCCTTTTATTTATTCTTTTTCTAGCTTTCTTTTTCTGTCTTTAATTTTATTTGCTTTTTCTCTTTTTCGTTATTCAATTTGCTTCCTTCCTCTTTACATCTTTGTTGTTTTCTGAATTCCCTTCAACATTTTTGTTTTCCTCTTTAAAGCTTGTTTTGGTTTTTCTTTAACTCAACATTCCATTTCATTCTTTAATTTACTCTTTCCTAAATTTCCTTCCCACTTAATTCAATATTTTCATTCTATCCTGCTTTTCTTTAATTCTTCATTTTTTTTTCTCTTTCTCTCCATTTGCCTTTTTTTTGGTTTCAATAAAAAAAAAATTACGTTATTCAATCAAAATCCTCCTCTTTATTTGCTTTCTCATCAACTTCTCTTTTTTTTTTCCATTATTTTTCCAAAAACTTTCTCTTTTAGGTTTTGTTTTGCAAATGCCTTTCTTCGCTTTGAGGATATCTGACATCAAAATCCTCAATGTTCAATTTTAACATAACCAAAGACATTTTTTTTTTTAAACACAGTAAACAAGAAGAGCTCTGCACACAACATTCAATCAAAATCATTTGTAAATTAACCTCATTTGAACTCTTTCCTTTCCAGATATCAACAATTCTCAATTACTTCCTCTTGTGACAATCTCTCTGATCACTGATGCTACCTGACAATCATTCTGACACCACTGTTCACAATCAACGAGATATGAACTTCC